TTAGTCTGGCCAGCTATGCATCTGCTGATGTGAGCCGCAACTCACAACAGCTTGTGCCTGTTAATAAAATGTGTTAGAAAAGATAAAAATCATATTCTTCTGATTTTTTACTACCATAGACTCTTCCAACAGCACTAGTCATAAAACTAGTCATAAAACTCAACAGGTTCTAAAACTCAGGTCTAGTTAGAGTCTTTTGCTCATCTTTTGCTCAAGTTATTTGAAAACTGCTGCTCTTCTCCCCTTCCCCTCACCCCAGGTGTTCATGTGGGTTGGCAAAGAAGCCAATGAAGTTGAGAAGAAGGAGGCATTGGCAACCGCTCAGGAGTATCTGCAAACCCATCCTAGCGGGAGGGAGGTTGACACTCCTATCCTGGTGATTAAGCAAGGTTTTGAACCACCCAACTTCACTGGCTGGTTCCTGGCTTGGGATCCTAACAAATGGAGTGTAAGTGAAAGCTACAGAATACCTAAAAATATACTTTATTTTCTGAAACTCTGGGGATTATTACATCAGCCCTGGAGTGTTTAATTAAAAGCCATCCGTATATGACCTTTTAATGTGGACATTTAGTGTTGCAAATATTTATTTTATCTATTTATCATATTTAAGAATGAGCCATCTCCCTCGGAGTATTATTAGTATTAGAAAACGTACTTGTACATCCAAATTTTGTTAGGTGAATATAGAATTTCTCCATTTAATGTGGAAAGATAATTTATTCCACAACCTATAATATAAGCTATGCTGAACGTTCCTAGGGTTAATATACCAGTACTTCTTATCATTCCACTACAATACACTTGTAATAAGGGACTGTCAGAGCAGAAGTTCTTCCTTGACTATTCTTTTTATTGGGAGGAAGGGCATTTAAAGCACCTCTTGAACTAGTGTGGTATGACCAGGGTTCAGTACAGACTGGGAGACAGATTTTCTCAACTTCTCAGTTGAGAATGACTCTCCTCCACCTGCATATCACAAACTCAGATATCAGCATTCTTATTTAATTGGTGTTAACAACTCTTTAAATGATGGACTTTTGTGTTTTTGTAGGAAGGGAAGACATACGAGCAGCTGAAGAAGGAACTGAGAGATGCCAACGACATGATCAGAGTCGCAGATGTAAGTTAGTTTGCTTATACTGGAAAAACCATTGCCCAAGTTTAAGCAACTGCCCGGAAGAGAAATTGGAAGCTGCTGTATTTCAGTCATATCCAGTCACTGAGCCCATGAGCCCAGAGGTGGAGACCTAACAGTCCTTCAGATGTTGCTAAACCACAGTGCCCAAACAATACCAGGCATTATGGGAAGATACTAGATATTACAATTCAGTAATACCAAAGGCACACACGTTCTTCACCTCTGATATATCCCTGTATTTTCTATAGTAGCTCTCCAGGGCCTCAGACAGAGAGGCTTTCTCAGGAGCTGCTTCCTAAGATCCTTTAAATGGGAAATCCTGGAAACTTAAAAACTGATTTGCCTGGGGGCTTTGGTCCATGTTACGGTAGATACTTCACCCCGCAGCCTTATAAATCAACGCAGCACACTGGGCTCAGACTGATCCACTTTGGTTCACCTTCCTCTACAAATCTCCTCTTAGCCTCTTCAGTACCTCAGTTAAGGTGGCTTTGGATTGATGATATGTTTTTGAGTTGCCTGTGCAAAAGCTGTTTCTAAGCTTGTGTGCTGCTAAAAGATGGTGGCAGTGATAGAATAATTTAAAGCTCCTGTTAAGGCCAAAGGCTCTATTTTCAGAGAAGGGTTTCCACAACATCCTACACAATTCATTATTTTTCCCCAAACACCTTTACTGGGGACCAGCTGTTCTGCTTAATCTCTGCATCAAGCACAACTTGTCCCCAAAGCAGAGAATCAGCAGGAAAAAACACTGCATACCTAAAACAGTGGGAACATCAATCAATCAACCAATCAATCAGAACAGAGCTGTAAGGGACTTTGGATGTCTTCTAGTCCAGCCCTCTGCTCAAGCAGGAGACCCTATACCATTTCAGACCCTATACCATTTCAGACATGGAGTAGAAAAGGTGATTCTTACCCTTTAAATTAAGCATTTGGTATTTAACAATGAGATATGACTAAATCTTTGCAACAGGATAAAAGAAGGCACCAGAAAACATTAACCTAGAAGAGGGATGGGGAACCTATGGCCTTCCATGTGCTTAGCTACAATTTCCAGCATCATTTACCACTGATAGGTATCTAGGGTTGCATCTGGAGAGGCCAGAAATATCTTTTTTTTTCCTGCTATGGAATGTCCTGCTTAGTCCAGCAACCTCTTTCAGTGTCTCTCAACCTTGGCAACTTTACGATGTGTGGACTTCAACTTGGGAGTTGAAGTCCACACATCGTAAAGTTGCCAAGGTTGAGAAACACTGCCGGATGTTTTGGGAAACCATTCTAGCAGGGAAGACTGGGAATTGTAGTTCCATTTCTTTTGAGGATACCAGAAGGCTGGTCCACATGAAAATTTCAGCAAGCTTTTAAGAATCTGCTGTGCTCTGTTTAGGATGACAGACCTGAAACCCTGAGCAGCAGCAAGAGTCCAATCTATTCTCTAGAAGTTCTGCTCTCCAGTCTGGAGGACTTACCCGAAGATGTGGATCCTGCTAAGAAGGAGGTGAGTCCTATCAAGCATTTGCCATGGGCCGAGAAGAGTAACCAGACTTTGTCTCAAAGATGCCATAAGGACATCCCTTAAGCATATTGCTTTAGAATTGAGGGGCAGGAATTACCATTTTAGACTTGCAGGTAGTATTTTCCTAATTCTCATGGCTGTACAAGCCAGCTCCAAATATTTTGGGTTAAACCTAGTAACATATCAGGCTTCTGAAGTCATAAACAGCAGATTAAGAGATAAACTCTGACTTAAAACACACACACACACACACACACACACACACACACCACAAATAAGGATTTCAGAAGCTTGAATTGCAACTCAGTTGCCAAGTATATCTCCCCAAATTTCATGTATCTACAAAATTAGCATATCAGGAAGGATTCTAGCTCTAACTCTCATTGAAGGCTTTCTCTTTGCCTCTTACAGTCAGCCTGCAGATAGGTAACTAGGACAGTACGTGTTAATTCCTTTGTCACTGCATCAATCCATTTTTTTAGTCCTTTGCCAGAGGTTTCTCATGACAACCATATTCTAAATGGCATCAATTAAATGTTTTTCAGTGCATAATGTTCAGTGCGGTAAGCCCTTTACATTTCAGTCGGATAAACTATCCAGTGTGGTTTCTCCCTGCCATCAAAATAAATCTCTTAAAAGCAATTGGCATGATTAATTTAGTCTGGTGGGATCCGTAGAGCTAATATTTTTAACTGAATTGGGAGAAATCCCACTGTTTCTACACTCTGCTCCTGCCTCATCCTTCTTACTCATCTCTTGTTATTTTTTCCCCATCCATAGAATTTCCTGTCAGATGATGATTTTATGAGAGTCTTTGGAATCCCCCGGGAAAAGTTCATTGTCCTTCCTACTTGGAAGCAACTTCACATGAAAAAAGAAAGGGGTCTTTTCTGAGGGGGAAAAAAAAACCGTGGCATTTATCAAACTCAAAAAAAAAAAAGAGAACCATCTTTCTTGGGTTTCTCTTGCTTTGGAGAAGAAGCCAAGTCCAGAAGCAGCTTCCTTCGGGAGCTATCTTTCTTTTAAGAGCGTATCCATATAGGGCCGAAGTACACTCAGAAAGTTGTTTTCATGTATTAAGGGCTGCTGCTACTGTCCAGGAAGTTTATTCTCCCTGCTGTCATCAATTACCCACTCTCTAAAGAGCCTGTTAGCAGAAAAGCCACTGCTTGTGAAGTAAATTGAATTGCTGAAACTCAGCAGACAAGCACTAGGAATTGGTGCTGTGCTTTTGGCAAATATGTACCCTATAAATAGCAACTGGGTTGACCCCCTGGAGCCCCAAACTGCCTGGCAGGCCTGCTGCTGTTTAAAATCAGACATAAGCATGTACTGTTCAATGGTCATCATTAAACATGTGAATAGTGCCTTATTTGCTCTGACTCCTATCTACTTTCGAGGAATACAGGTAGTCCTCAACTTACGACCACAATGGAGCCCCAAGTGCCTTTTGCTAAATGAGACGTTAAGGGAATTTTGCTCCGTTTTATTATTGTGTTGTTGTTTTTGCCATAGTCATTAAGCGAATCGCTGCAGTCGTTAAAAGTTAGTAACACGGTTGTTAAGTGAATCTGGCTTTGCCTGTCAGAAGGGGACCACATGACCATGGGACACTGCAACTGTCCTGAGTCAGTTGCCAAGTGTCTGAATTTTGGTCACATGACCATGGGGGTGCTGCAGTGGTCGTATGAAAAACACTCATAAGTCACTTTTTTCAGTGCCGTTGTAGCTTCGAACCGTCGCTAAATGAACTGTTGTAAACTGAGAACTACTCGTATTAGAATTGTGAAAGGGTGGCCTTTCAGGCATTCTTGGATCACAGCTCCCATATAAGGATTACTAATACGACCAACCCTACCTACCCGTAGACTCCGATAAGTCGCTCAGTGTCTGAGCGGTAGATGAAGTTCCAACGTATGTTTTCCGGGACCTAATATCTACAAAGTAAAGTCTTCAAATATTTGCCGCTGACAAGAACAGGAACGTGGAAAACTTTACTATGTACTTAGACATAATGGGTACTTATTTACTAACAGTTGTTTTGAGGTTAGGGCTGGGCAAGAAATAAGCGTATTGCCTGTTTTTAATGACTGGATTTCACTCTGTGGGCCAGGCACTTATTCTCAGTTTAACCTACATCAAATTGTACATTAGCAATAGCACTTATATACCACTTCATAGTGCTTTACAGCCCTCTCTAAGCAGTTTACAGAGTCAGTATATTGTTCCCCAACAATCTGGGTCCTCATTTTACCCAGCTTGGAAGGATGGAAGGCTGAGTCAACTCTGAGCCGGTCAAGATCAAACTCCTGGCAGTTAGCCTGCAATACTGAATTCTAACTATAGCACTACCACGGCTCTTAAATACACATTAAGCCCCTGAAGGAAATGCCAGCTATAAAGCCTGGAAAATTAAATAATGGAATAAGCCAGTGATGGCAAACCTTTTAGAGACCGAGTGCCCAAACTGCAACCCAAAACCCACTTATGCATCGTTGGGTGCCGGGTGGGTATGGCCCATTGGCTGGGTGTGGCCCTTTGGGTGGGCGTGGCTGCGGTGGTAATGGCAGACTGGGTGGGACTAAAAAGTTCAATCAATCAATTCCAACTTTGCAAGATCTTTTTTTTCCCCACGAGAAGTTGAAATTGACTGATTGAACTTTTTTTTTTTTTTGCACATGGCGGTGGAGGCCTAAAGCGAAAAGGTTTTATAAAACCCAGCTGAAGGCCTAGGACTGGGGTGACGGCGCATGTGCCACAGAGAGGGCTCTGAGTGCCACCTCTGGCACCCATTCCATAGGTTCGCCACCACTGGAATAAGCTAATGTTTCTTGACAAGATACATATACTGTATTTTTATTTTGAAAAAAAAAATATTGCAACTCTCCTCTAAGTTGCTCTTAACAGTTTCAGAACCTGTCATCTACAGCAAGGGTCTTCAAACTTGGCAACTTTAAAACTTTTGGACTTCAACTCCCAGAATTCTTCAGCCAGCCCTGAGGGTTAGGGTTAGGATTAGGGCGAGGGCTGGCTGAGGAATTCTGGGAGTTGAAGTCCACAAGTCTTAAAGTTGCCAAGTTTGAAGACCCCTGTTCTATAGCATTGATTGCCATCTATCAAGGTTTATCCAAGAACAAGAATATATACCAAAAGCCCAATTTACCTTAACTTAGTGCAATCTTCTACCATCTCTCCTCTAGCTTTGACTTGAGCAATCTCTAATAAGTCTACAATGCTTTCTTTCCCTGATATGTTTCCAGGCCACCCCAATGATGCCCTTGACGTGATGGCCCGGTGTCTGGAGGCCGTACGGGTCTGGATGGGGAGAAACAGACTCAGGCTCAACCCTTCCAAGACTGAGTGGCTGTGGTTGCCGGCTCCCAGGCATAGTCAGCTGACTCCATCGCTGACTATAGGGGGCGAAACTCTGGCTCCCTCGGAGAGGGTACGCAATTTGGGGGTCCTCCTGGATCCACGGCTGACACTGGAAGACCAGTTGACGGCTGTGGCCAGGGGGGCGTTTTACCGGGTACGCCTGGTGCACCAGTTGCGGCCTTTTCTGGACCGGGATGCCTTGCGCACAGTCAC